GTGGAGTGAGTCTCTCACCCAGGTTCTTTTGTCATTCGGGGACATATCTGAGCACTTGTGTGGGAAGTTGAAAAGGACCGCGTAATTTTCGAAAACCTTTTTTGCAGCTTTGTTCATCTTCCTCGGTATTACCAAATTTCCACAGTTCGAGTTGAGTCGTTTCGCCCTTGATTGTTTCTTTGATAATATTTACTTTGGATTTGACTTGGGTACTTGAAATTAGGAAATCCATCGCTTTTTGACTCAGAGATTTGTGTGTTGAGTTGGATGCGTGTTGAGACTGATCCGGAACAGAAGATTGGGCTCCCGAGATCCCTTGGCTTTGAACATGACCTTTTGAGTCAGTAGGTCCTGTAGGTGTCGTTCGGGGACCTGGGTCCGAACCAACTGGTGATGGTTTGGGGTCGATTTTTCCTGGAGTTACAACGATCTCGCTGTAGGATGCTGCCATGGTGTTGTGGCCGCAACCAGCGTGGCAAGGTATGCAGAAAAGGAAGACTTTGTCTCCTGGCCTGATGGTTGTGAGTTCGATACCTGGGTGTCAACTGCAGTTGAGAACCTGGCTGGGATACACTTTCCTTCCGGATAGGAGTGAGACCAAAGCCAGATCAGTATAGTGAAAAAGGAGATAACAGAGCTCGCTACCTGCCTGGTAATCGTGAGATCCTATCTTGAGTGATTTGTTAAGGCCAGGGTTGCTTCGCCTCCTCGTCTATGGCAGGTGAACATAGTACCATGTGAGTAGCAACGAGTTGGATAGGAGTTCGCCTTCCCACCAGGGACACATGAAAACAAGTCAGGGATGGCGGTAATGATTTGGCAGGGCTTCGCCTCCCCACCTAGGGATTGAGAATCGATACAGACTAGCCGTATGAATTTGGTAGGGCTTCACCTCCCCACCTGGGGAACGTGTGAAAGAGATGAGAGTATTCTTAACGATTTTGGCATGGCTTCGCCTCCCCACCTGGGGAGCGTGGACGAGAGATCAAAAATAGCAATGACAAATTGACAAAGCTTCACCCCAGCTAGGGGGCGTAGAATATAGAAGACGAATTGACAAAGCTTCTCCACCCCAGCTAGGGGGCGTAGAATATAGAACAATAAGTAGCGTCCAATTTGACAGAGCTTCGCCTCCTCACCTGGGGAGCGTGATAATTGGTCCAGAACAAAAACTGAAATGAACACAGCTTCGCCTCCCCACCTAGGGATCGTGAGATCAGATCCAGTGAGGCAACAAATGTGAAAAGGACAAGGACTCGCTTTTCCTCCTGGGGATCGTAAGCCTCGAGTGCTAATTGTAGGACAAAAGGCGTCAGAGCTTCGCCTCCCCTCTTGGGGATAGTGCGATCAGATCCAAAAACAACGAGTAGGCGAACTGATTAAATTTCGTCTTTCCGCTCTGAAATCGAGCGATCAGTTACCTGCGACAAGCAGGATGGATGCTACGGCTATGCTTTGGGTTGCTTTTGATTGGAGCGAGTTCGATTTTCCTGAATACATCTCTTGTTAGAGTTGGGACGACAATGATCGTATTGGGAGAGATAGCAAACCAAAGAGGAAAAAATGATGTAAGTAAATTTGTAAACGACGCGACAATAGTCCCATTAATGCTGACAAATTGATAAGAAATGAATGAACTTGAGAGGAGAGAGAGGAGTAGAAGAAGAAGAAGAAATGAGAAAGAAGAAGAAGAAGATGTACACCAGCAAAGATGATGACAGGGCTCTTCTTCTTCGCCCAACAATCTCCTCCTCCTTATCTCCCCCTTCTCATATTCAAATAAGAAATAATAATACAATGCTGAATGAATGATCCAGAATCATGTCCGAGTCCCTTTTCTACTGCAGATATCACTCAAGGTCCACCATAGCCATGGCCGCCTCCCCCACTCTTCACACACATAGGCCGAGGCTATGGCGGACTACTAGGCCTTGCTCCAATGTCCAAAGGACAACGCAGAGCAGCTATGGCTGCTACAGCTCAGGCCGCCATGCCCAGCCCTGCCTTGAAGCTTCTTGGTGTAGCTCCCCCGGCTGGGGACTCCTTGCATCAGCTCCCACCAAGGTGATGAAGATGGCTGCCACCATAGCCAGGTAAGTACACCTGGCGCTCCTCCCCCTTCCTCCTTCCTTCCTCCTTCTTCCTCCCTCGCGTCCTTCTTCTTCCTCCCCAGCAGCACAGCTCCAACCCAACGCTGCTCCCTCCAGCGCTCCACCAGTGTGTCGCCAAACTTGCACACCGAAAAAGAGGCCGGGTCTTCCGCCCGACCAGAAGATATAGCGGCCTGCTTGCCTCTTGGGCGGTGACTTCCAGGCCACTGGCCTTCCCAAGCAACCGGTACCTCCTCCTATTTTTGGAGGGAACATCATTGCAGACTCTGATATTGCCCCTACAGGCCCTAGACTCAGACTGGTACCCGCTAGACCTAGCCTACACTACCGGACTCTAAAAATGCCACTTTTGTCTTCTTTTGCTCGGCCTCTGGTACCTGCATATTTACCCCCCTACCGGGTGCGGTACCGGCCTACCCGCTACTTGAGTGCTTTTTTCCCTGCTGCAACCCTTCAAAGTCACGGCCACAGGTAAGTACCGGCCCTGAGGCCCAACGAACGAACAAGTGCCCTGGCGGGCCACACACACGCACACTCATACCAACCAGCACTCGGACAGGCACGGTCACACACGCAAGCCAACCAGCACTCAGACAGACATGCAGTCCAGCAAGCACACACACACATAGACTTAGCAGGCGGGGAACTCAGTAGGGCATTCAGTCTATGAGCAAAACTCAGAAATCAGTTGTGTGTTTCAATCCGTGTTTGGACGGGTTATCACACTACTCCCCCCTCAAGAGCGAGTAACTCATTCTAAGTCCTCGGCAAACGCATCGTAGGCGAGCAAGGCAAAGAGATTCCTAGAATACTCTGTTGCAGAGAGCTTTGCTGCGATCTTCGGTGTGGCGTTAGCGGCGATCTGTCGCTCATAAGCTTTAACGACACGTGGTGCGCTGCGTAGCAGTTCCTGTTTGGAGATCCAGTAGAGATCATCTAACGGGTGATACATGAAATGAACCTGGTACTGTCTGTTTCTCCCTTTACCTACATGTTGTTTGATTCTGTCTATCTCATGCCCGCCCTTGATTGCGCGAGGGATCATATCTTCGCGGTAATCGAATGTCTCAGCGTCACGATGGAGATTCAATTTAGATGCATGAAATACGGGATACGTGCGCAGGTGAGCTGGCACGTCTACAACGTACGAAGGGCCAAAGTGATCTTCCCCAATGACATCCAAAACTTCCCAAGGCCCGTAGTAGAGTGGGAGGAGTTTGCGTGAGACTCCCTCACCCTCTGAGAATTCAGACATCTTTACCCAGACATAACTTCCTACCTGAATCTCCGATGGTTTGCGCTTCTTGTTCGCATGGTGAATCATGGCATGCTGTCGCTTGGGCATGGCTGCAACAGCAACTTTGAGCAGGCGATCATACTTAGCCCTGAAGCCGGGCCTACCAGGTGTTAACCCAGCTGGTTGTTCAGGGAATAAGTAGGAGAGCAGATTTTGGATCTGCCACCCGTAATGCAGCCTGTTAGGTGTCGTGGCGGTGGCAGAATGGATGGAGTTGTTGTACAACCCCTTGACAGAATACAACTCCTCATCCCATGTTTCCTGATCAGGAATGATCAACGCACGGAGTAGTTGGAATACAGTCTGGTTGATCTCCTCAGCCAAACCGTTGGCTTCGGGGTGTCGGCCAGATGTCATGCACAGTTTGATGCCTAGGTGGGACGTGAACTCCTTCCATTCAGCGCTAATGAAACCCGGGTCCCGGTCGCTCACAAGAGTCTTCGAGGTTCCGAATTGCAGCAGGTATTTCTGCTGGAATTCGCGAATCACTAGATCTGTTGGGGCGTGAGGCGGTAGAGGGATCAGATTAAGAAACTTTGAAAATCGGTCAACAATCACCATGACTTGTGAAAACCCATTCTTGCTTACCTTACCCATGTCAGTGAAATCGATGGAGACAGACTCCCCGGGACCATCAGGAATGGGTAGGGGTGTGAGTAGCCCCATGGGCTTTTGTCTGCATGGTTTGATTCGT